TTTTTTAACTTCTTTTTACAAAGTGGAATTTCATAATTATGTGCATATTTTCCTTTAAATTTATTTGTTTGAAACGATTATTTGAGAATATAAATCTATAATGTTAAAATGTAAATGGAAGATGATTTCAATTAATAGAATATCAGCTTCTCTATTAAATTCATGATGGAAAAGAAGATGGCAAATCAAAGAGATATTAATTGTGAAAATTATAGGTAAGTATACTTAGATTTTGAAAACATATGTTATTGATATATTCATAAATTTACTGTGAAAAAATGACATTAAAAGGAAATGATTCATAATAATTACAAAATGCATATTTAAAAATTTAAAAGATAACTGATTATGTAAGAATATCAAAGGATTTTTTATGTGAATTAAATATTGTAATTAAGAATATATTTTGATTGATTGATATTTAAGTAAATAATTGATTAAACCAAAAACTTATTATAATGTAGAATTCAACTATATATGTTTAGTAATTATTATAAGATTCTGCAAATTGCATCCTTATTTATAATAAATGGAATAAGTGAATTAAAAAAAAGATATACAATAAGTGTAAACTTTTACAATTTTATTTACAAAATTATCATTATGTAAATAAAAATAAACACCTTTTTAGTGATAAAATCGATTATATTATATTTTAAATGCTATTCACTATTATTTTGCTCAAGTACTTTTTACACTTAGATTGCATTTAGAATCATTCAAAAAAACCATCTTAGACCTTTATTAATCATTTTGTATCAATATGATATAATTAATTTATAAAAATTTAGATCCTTTTCTTAATCTCTCTGCTTCTAAATAGGCTGTAATCATCTAATCTAACTCAAGCTATCATCATATAATATTAATAATAATAAATGAAATTACATTAATTTATTTAGATTTAATAAATAATTTCAAAATTATACTATAATCATAAATATCTATTAATTTAACATAAATATATATATAATATCTCTAACATTTTTTTAGTTAGACACAAACCAGCAGATAATAGATATTTTTATACTAAAGATTATTTATCTTTATAGTTTTCAAATTATATCAGATATTTCTTTATTGACTTTTGAATTTTCAAAAATGAATGATATATAAATTCTTATAAAGAATTAACAAAATGGAATGACATAAAAGAATTTCTTTCTAACAAGAATATTAGTTCACTTTGATGAAGTAGTAGTATTTAAAGCCATGAATGTATTATGAAGTTAAATAATTAATTAAATAAATTAGAAGAATTCCAAAATGATGCTTTAAAAAAATTGGTGAATTATTATAAAAAGTAATTTCAATAGAATAATTAGATTATTGTCAAATTTAGCTATTTTTTATGACTCTGCAGAATTAAAAGAGAAAGGGATAACTGGATAAGTTTACATTAATAAGTTGATAAATAAAGGAAGCAGAGTCAATATAGGTTAAAACCAATTGAACCAGAAATTTTTGATTAATTTTGAGACACGAAAGCATAAAGTTATCAAGAATACTCTTTTGATGATACTGAAATACTGATTTGAATATAGATGTAGCAAGAATGGAAAAACAACAAAAATAAAACCAATCTAACTATAATAATTTTTAGATGATAATAAACACAAAAAATGTAGTTAATAAAATTAATTTTCATAAAATTATTTATAATAATTATTTCTAAATTCATAATCAATATATAGATATTTACGTCGAAAAAAATCATAAATAAATTTACTCATTTTCACTATTAATAAACTTAAGAAGAAGGTTATTAAGAAAAGTATATGAATGCCTGCATTTAAGATACTAGATATTGAATTAGGTTTTAAGAATTCTTCATATTAATGGAAATTAAATAGAAGGATAATTTTTAATAACAAAAATAGACAGGTAACATAAATAAATTACAGATGGGGAATCAATTGTATTAAAGGCTGTTAGGAAAGATGAATGAAAGAAGGAAAAAAAATAAGTTACATAATAGTAATAGAATATAGAAGTCACTTATCCTTTTCAAGCAGTATGATCTTTGTTGAAAATATTTATATCATGTAAATTATCAATTATACTATTATTCATAAAATTCAAAATACTAATAGTGCTATTGAAAACAGTTTTTTGTTTAAATTATCTTCCTTTAATTAAAATAGACTTAGTAAACCTCCGAGATAAAACAGAAGGAGTCAGTTTGAACAACATTGTCATTATATGGATATGAAAATTTATTTGAAGTGTTCTAATTTGATAATAAAAAATCATTCAATTTTTGCTCCGAATAATATACTTTAATAAAAAATATAATTAGAAGGAATTTTCTAGAAATAGAAGGAAATGTTTAATATTTCTATAAACTAATGGATACTTTTGAATATATGGCAGTTTGGGCAAACTTTCATGAAATTGAACATATTACAAGTGATATTATTGAATATATATAAATATCAATTGGTGATTAAGTAATTCATTCAGATATATGGATTAATTTCCAATTTAACCAAAAAAAAAAAAATATATATTACATCATTCGAAGAGAATCAAAGATTAGAGATCTTTAACGTAAAAATTAATTATTAACAACAAGAAGTATAATTAATCTAATTATATTCAAAATATAATATGAGTTATTCTATATATATATATAT